ATTCATAAATTCATGTGAAAAAATAAAAAAAACCAGTGGCGCTAGTCCAGTCTTCAGGTTTGGGCTTCAGATTTCTGTATCTTTTAATGATCATTTGTCAATCTAAACGGCAAATAGGTGATCAGCCTCCTGTGCCTGAGACATGCCGTCGACTTGGATCTAAGGCAAGCCGGTTTCCTCACGATGTTTTCCCTGACCGATCGAGTGAAGTACTCGAATATATCGCTACAAAGACAGTCAGCACTTTGTCTAATCCTGAACCTGTAAAGATACGACAAGAATCCACCGTGACCTGTTAAAATCTGGGTAATCAATCCCGTTGGTTTTATTTGTTTAATTTCGAAAAGGCCGCAACAACATTTGGAAGGAATAACTTAATAAAACACTATTTTGACCGGATTGAAGTTATGTATTATTATAAATTTACAACTATTTAACATAATTTTAAATTTATCCGACGTTTCGCGTGCTTTACAGCGTGCGTGGTCACGGTGTTTTATTAAATGAATAAAAGTTATGTTAATCAAAGACAATAGGAATAACTTAGTTATTGCAGCTGTTTCGCCGTTTCGATATCTGTGATTCCATTTTTCTATTTATGAAATTTTCTCTTTTAGTGAATGAAATCTTCTCATCGCAATACATGTTGCGCAGGAAACTATACGGTGCGAATATATGGTGTAGTTCCCTATTTCTACGCACTTCTATGTGCGTCTATTTGTGCACAGCCGGGGATCGAACTTACAAAAGTCGAACCTACGAGAGTCGCATGCTGAAGGCTAACAAAATTTAATGTTTCTTGGCGATCCAGAGGAATGAATAGTTTCCCCTTATTTTATATTATGTAGTACATAGATTCACACTATTGTCCTGGATTTCTGTATTAACTTTAATTGAAGATACAAAGTCGTAACAAACAATACCAGATGCAAACAATAGTACACAATGGAAGGGTAACTTTATTAGGGCCACAATATTATCTCCGCACGTGTTGTGAATGTGCCCTAACACCCTGAAAGCCTTATCTTTATTAGCTGTGTACTTTATAATCTTAAGAAGATTTGGTGTTATTTCTGGGAGATGTGTATTATAAAATAAAGATTCATCTGAACAAAATTTTAAACAAGATAAGAAAATCATACAACTGCTTTTGTCTTTTTACATTATATGTGATCAGCTTCTGTGCCTCAAATGCCGTCGTTTTTTGCCGTATAAGCAAGTATTATATGCGCATAAAGATGTAATAATCCATTGGTGCACAGCCGAGATTTCAACAGACAACCTTGGGGTGAAATCCGCGCACCTTACTAATCTTTACCCTTTTATGGCAAAAACTAAACAAATTCCAATACTCGGTATTATTATTCCTCTTCGCAGTCTTCATTACTGAAAGTCGAGCCGGTCTTGAAAAGCCCTAACCGATACATCGACTTGCTGCCTCCGCACCATTCTATCCTCAGCTTGTCTCAGGGCATTGAGACCTATAATAGGCTTTATATAGTCAGACCAACGGGTAGGCGATCGACCCCGACTTCTCCTGCCATCACTCCTCCCAACTATTACCAGTTAGTTGAGACTATTCGGATCTCTCCTGGCCAATATGCCCAACGTAGCTAAGCACCCGTTTCTAAATGATAGCTGACAGTATTGTGGTGATCTTTAGTTGGTTGAGAATGGACTTATTGTATCCGTATTATTACTATTCCGCGAATCCCAAGGAGTTCACGCTCTCAATAACTAAATCAGATCGTTTAACACCAGTCTAATTATAATAAGGAAAAGTGAGTTTCATGTAATACGGGGAAAAACCGCAGGATGCTTTACGATTTGATCTCAATTGGACGTTTTTATGAGATTTTCACGCTATTCTCGACGCGACGGCCACCCGTTGACTTTAAATACGCTATAGCATTATACTACGCCTTTTTATGTGTGTATACATTCGCACATATATTGTAATTGGTTAACGCAAGTGGTACATATATAAATAACACTTTTTTTTTTGGGAACTTATGAGCGATGGTGGCAAGCGAGATACATATAACTCAAACTCAAACTCAAACTCAAAATATCTTTATTCAAGTAGGTAACCAAGTACACTTTTGAATCGTCAAGTTAAATTAATCGTAAATTTACATTTACTACCAGTTCGCAAGTCAAGGGCGTAGAGCGGGTAAGAAGAACTGGCAAGAAACTTTCCGCCACTCTTTTTAATCGCCAAGTATTGTCATACAAATTGTTTGAACTGGAGCAATTCAATCCCAAGGATTAGGATCATTTAAGTAGTCCTCAAATTTATAAAAGCTTTGTTGATTAATTTTCGTTTAACGAGGGCTTTGAATTTATTTAGTGATAATTCTCTAATTTCGCTTGGGAGCTTGTTGTAAAAACGAATACAATTTCCATATAAGGAGTGGTTTATCTTTTGGAGCCTGGTTGGTCGTACACTCAAATTAGTTCTATTTCGCGTATTATACTGGTGAAAGTCACCATTTGTTTTAAAATCGTTTATATTTTTTTGGACATACAACAAGGCTTCAAGAATATATTGACCAGATAGTGTCATAATATTTAATTCCTTAAACTTATTCCGTACCGACTCCCTCGGAGAAACACAACAAATACCCCGAACAGCCCGCTTCTGCAGCACAAATATGGATTGAACCTCTGCAGCAGCACCCCACAGTAAAATGCCGTACGACATAACGCTATGAAAGTAGCTATGGTACACAATTTTAGCCGTGTCCTCATCAGTAAACTGTCGGATTTTCTTTACTGCATATGCAGCAGAGCTCAGCCTATTCGAAAGAGTCTCTATGTGTGGGCCCCATTGAAGTTTACTATCTATTGTTATGCCTAGAAAAACAGTTTTGTCAACAAAGTTTAGTTCACTGTCCTTAATTTTCAGGTTACCAATATCTCGCTTTACGCTAGTAGTTGTAAATCTAATACATTTTGTTTTATTCTCATTAAGCAATAAGTTATTTACATTAAACCAGTTAACTATACGAGAGATAAAATTGTTTACATCGTCCAATAATACGTTATTCCTATTCACTTTAAATAGAAGTGAAGTGTCATCAGCAAACAATACCATCTCATGAACTTCGTTGACAAAGAATGGGAGGTCATTTATGTAAATCAGAAATAAGAAAGGCCCGAGAATCGATCCTTGGGGGACGCCCATTGATACCTGCGAACCCGGAGAGGTGACTCCATTGACATGAACTCTTTGGATCCTTCCTTTTAAATATGAATTCATCAGGCTGGAAGCTTTGCCATCAACGCCATAGTGTTGAAGCTTTCCAACGAGTATATCAGGATAAACACAGTCAAAGGCCTTTGACAGGTCACAAAAGACGCCGACTCCATCATATGATTCTTCCCAGGCGTTAAATATGTCCGAAATATATACATATAAAAAACGCTTGCTAACTATTTTTTTTTTATAGTACCCATTTTAGTGGGCACGTTGCCCATATTATGTCGATATGGTGCATCGCATCTCCCAGGGAAGACCCCCACCGGGAGTCGATTCCACAGTTCGCTAATTCGTAAAAATGTGTCTTGTTAAGCGAACCGTGGAATACTTCCAGCTATCAAGGTGATAGTGATGAAATTTTGAATTAATACGGTTCAAACGGTGTTGAAACGAGGCAGGTGGGATCAGCCCAAGTAACTCTTCAGTTCAGTCTCCATAGTATACTTTGTAGAATACGCATAAAGACGCAATTTCTCTGTATGCTTAAACCTTGCGTTATAATGCAGATATCATAATATTAGAAAAAAGTATATTTAAGATTGAATCTTTCAGGTTAGTTAGCTGTTAGTAATTATAGTTTTTTTAGTTCATGGTTAACGCCTTTCAATGTATAAACTGAAAGTGTTTCCTTCTTCTACAAACACTTTCTTTTAAAAAGTCGAACTTGGTCAATTAATAGCCATTGAAATTGAGACTAGAGAATGAGAGAGATAATGCTCTGGGATGAATCCCATGCGGATTAAAAGACGTGGAAGTAATAGAAGAGATGCCCTTCTATCTAGTGCTCTGCATTGTAAACCTGAAGAGGGAATATGTAGTTCTGCCGCTGAATGTTAGAGAGAACCCCAAACCTATTTACTTGCTTGTACAATAGTTGGTTTTAGTGGGAATTAACGTTTCTGTCTCTGAATAGCAGAAATTTTAGAATCGATTGAGTTCCAAATAGCAGTTGACTGTCTTGCAAGTGTATTTGGGGCTCATTACCTTCTTAGATGTCCAAGAAAAGCTATACCAACAGCATCGGAGTAGTATAAAATACCTTAACGAATTCCCATGTTCGAAATTAATTATAAATTCCGATCTCAGTCTACAAAAACTGTTATTTAGAGCAAGTATTATAAGGCTGCGGTGAATTGATTCGGTTTAATTATAATTCAATTATTTGTAGACATTGTTCATCTCGGCTCTATTAAGCAGGTTAATAGCGTACCCACTGTAATTAAGGTTCAAAAGTTTTATAGTTCTGTAAATCATTTGATTGGTAATTTTGTGATCCGAATCATTTTTTAAGTAAAAGTAGAATGTTGTTTAAATTTGTTTGGAACGATTGCGGAACGAATAAAGAAATTAAGAATTAAGTGGTAACCGCTACTCATGAACACCTACGCGTTTCAAATCTCGAAAAGTGCGTCGACGGCCTTTGATTTACCCAATTTAACAAAATACCCGGTTTTCAATAACCAAACAGATAACTGATTTAAAGGAGCAAAAACTGTATATTTTTACTCTATAGATATTTTCGATTTAGGCTCGTTTAAATTTAGTTTAAAGAAATCTAGTTACTTAACAAAAGAGGTTTTATGAAATTATTAGTAACCTTCTTCGGATATCGTAAAAGTATTCAAAGCGAAACGAATAAAATTTGACGTTTGACAGATATTCGTCATATTTTCCCTCTAGTTATGTCAACTTTTATTAATTACATAATTAATTTTATCAATTAAATACAATTAAAAAAATGAATCGAGACAGAGCTATTAACTTTAATAGTTGTGAAATTCACATTCTTGTCGACTTGGTGTCAAAGGACCGCTACATAATTGAGAATAAGAGAAATGATGTCGCCACAAACAAAGAAAAAGAAGCGACTTGGAACAAGTTATCCATAAACTTCAATGCCGTGTCAGGGTTTACACCTAGAACGGCTAAGACACTTAAGTTGAAGTATGAGAGTCTGAAAAAGGCGATCAGAAGAAAGATTTCCAGACATATCGAACTAGGCAATTCGGGAGAGCCGAACCTGTCGGACATTGAGAAGACAATTCTTAACATTTATTCAAACGGCGTCGAGTCGCGAAATGATACTGAGAATGTCATAGGTAATTTTGATTATACCTTTACCCTTAGTACGAAATTGTTGTGGTTGTTATTTCTATTGTAGTGCAGCGTTCCGTAAGCTATTTCGAAACTAAACAGCTCATACGTTTAAAAATCTGCCAATAACCTAGCTAATATTAGTAATTAATAAAATCCCAGAAAATTAAAAAGACCCGATTTTACTTGTTGTTGCAACATCTGCTACAACTCATTCTCTAACTAAAGTGTTAATGATCTAACGCCAATCATCAAATTTTGTTTAGTAAGATTTGATACGATCTAAGGTAATAAAATTGGGTCTTTCAAATTTTCTGCGTTTACCAAAATCACTGCTATGACGTCACCCTGATGCGTTAACGAAGTTATTCTGACCGCTAAGGATATATAGAACTTCTCGATCTTAGCCACTTGGGCCTTCGAGCCAGTTAGTGGTTCACTGGTCATGGATCTTCCCTTTAGGTTGGAGGAACAGTACATCCCTCCTCCATAGGGGTCCTTCAATAAAACAGCGAATTTTTACCTTAAAGGCTGACAACACCTGCTCCTGTTGCATACGCGGCGGTTAGAAATTTATTTGACGTGCTCCTGCTCGTTGGTCCCCAGTCCCTGTACACGAAGAACAAGTTGAGAAACGTTTAGCTTTACGTTGATTTTTAGATCACTATTTTGAATTATCCAGTTATTTAGATCCGTTTTGTAAGATTTCATTGTATGGCGTTGTAGAATTCCGAGTGAAAAGTGAAAATTCTGATGAAGATTTGAACGAAAGAAGTTTACTGAAGACGCCCGAGGATGTTGACTATGTTATACCAGATGTGATGGACGATACAACAGTTATTGGTAAACTATTTTGGTATAATATAGCATTTTATATATATATATGTAATGTAATGTTTAATTCAACTACCAACTTATAAGTTGGCAACGTACTGACGAATGTCGATTTGAAGGATGGGCTACTATGGTTTCATGGGCGGCAGTTTTTATAAATGAATAATAGGCAACGTATTACAATAATAAAAAAATTTGGAAACGCCTGAACTTGCTTATTTGGTGTTACCAACTAAAGAACGAAAGTAGATAAAATCTGTTAAGTCTGCCAGTATAAAACATTATTTGTTCTTTATAATATAGCATTGTCGAATATTTTACTAAAATATTATACAAATATAATAACCATACAAAGCGTTCTTTATTTCATTTTAATTAGCACAATACAGTAAAGTAAGAAAATGTACCAAAGTTATCTTTGGATGTAAGGCTTGCGCCTTAACGATGTTTTCCTTCACCGTCCGTGCGAGTGTTAAATGCGTACATATACAGTAAGTCCATTGGTGCACAGCCGGGGATCGAACCTAAGACCCCAGGGATGCGAGTCGCACGTTGATACCACTAGGCCAACACTGCTATCATCTATCTTTAACATTTTGTAATAAGCAATCTAATTATCTTTTAGAAAACAAACGAAAATCTATCTCCAAAGGACAATCTCAAAAAACAGTCAGGAAGAAAGTTGATGGCATCTCCAACATATATTCATCCAACGTCGCTTCCGCTAAGCTGGAATTGATAGAATTACAGAAGAATATAGCGAGTAGGGAGCACGATTTTGTTCATGAAGAACATAAGCTTAAAATGCAGCATTTGCTTAACGAGGAAAAAAGAAAACAAGAAATTCACGATTTTCTATTAAGAAAACAAACATAACCTGCTTTATAATTAACCTGGACTATTATAGTACCGTGTTGTTTCGATATTTCCACGTAAAAAAATTATAACCATGATGAGCTTTTTAATAATTCCCAAACTGTTTAAACTTGTTTGGTTAGTAATCGTTCTTTAACATAATTTAAATATATGTAATACTGTAATTTAGTTGTATGCTAATAATAAAGTTAATGTATGCGTGCGTAATAATTCTGTTTATTGCAGTTTACTGTTTATAATATCTTTGAAAAAATTACAAATTCTTAATTCCAAGTGCATGGATGGGAGTGCATCTGGTATCGTATAACATTAGCACGGAACGGATTGTTATTCGGTACTTTGTGCGTTTTAAAACTTTTCCGGGAACGCCCGATGCGTTTTAGGCAATAGATATATTTTATTTTCTGGCATTGATGACTTTACAAAAACCTATAAATAATATAGGTTTATCATCGCTTAAGTTTATTTAGACTTTAAAAGCATGCCTCGAGGCTAATAAACTCAGGTCTTTTCTGACCGTGCATAATTTAATTTATTTAAAATATACAGGCATTCAAGATTGTAAAACTATGCACGAATATAAAAATATGATAAAAAATATACATAAATAAATATTTGTTAAATGTAATACTCGTGAAATATCATTACTCGTTGAATTGAATCAATAATCAATATAACTTTCAATCAAAGTAAAGAATGCTCCGTCTGTTTCCGTCAATATGAGGCTTTGATCAAGCGAATGAAGGGTTGACAGCTATCACCGAGGTTTGATTACCTTTTAAGTTTAATTTTTATCCTCATGGTGAAATATGGTGGGAATTTAAACACAATATAACTATAGGCAGTTATCATATAATTATTATATATAATGGCATGAGTAGCTATGAATAACTTCGTATAAATTTAAGGCTATATTTATACTTTCGGGTCATTTTATGTACGGCAGAGAGGCAACATCTTAAGTATATATATATAGACAATAGTTTGTATTTCAATTGCAAGAGGCTAAATAAAACTTCTATTTGTTTCTCTGTAAGTAAAGAATGCAATTTTATTTATCGAGTAGGTTACACACTGATACAATCCTTACAAGACTAACACAATCTCACCTGTAAGTAAAGAAACGACAATAAAAGTTTATTGTTATCACCTCTCGATGCATATAGCTTAACTAAGTATGAAATTAATTAACAAATAAGATTAAAATACAATTCAACGATCTCAGCATATTTGTCCTTTACATCTTTGACAATGGCAACTAGCTTGACGTGACACGACGCGGCTCACTCACGAACTAGCAGTGCGCGCGAATATTCAAATTAAAGAGATCATTCTCTTTACATATATTATTATATCATTTGTCTCTACACAAAGACATAGTTTAACATAATAATAATTTAATAAGTGATTTAAAACTAACTAAATTTACTAAAAAGGTTATTTAATAAAGGAATGTGTTTTGTTCTTTTCAATCTTCTCACTATCCCGGGCCCGTGGTATCACGGCGTTAAACCACCACCAGGACTATTGACTATTCTAAGCACTTTGTTTAGGAATCGTTATATTATTTGGATGTAGCTCTTACTGGTATAGCTGGTAAACATAAGTCCATACAGTAAAAAATATATGAAATGTTTTTTGAAGTGGTATAATGATGCTACCTTGTTGGTGCGACATTAAAATAATGTTGTCAAACTATTCAGACGAAACGTTAAACACACGACCATAAAGTAAAAAGATTTTTTGTAAATTATTTAATAATGATTTGCGAGCGCATCCTCACTCCATTTGTGCCGCAAAAACGCAATCGGATGTAACTGAAATAATATTTGCTCTCGACTGGGCCGTGCCATAAGAGACAAGAGAAACGTTTTGAAACAGGCCATTAATAATATTTCTGATCAAAAATTTAAAAAATCCATAAGATAAGACACTTTTATATATAAGAGTTGATCAATTTGACAACAATTTAAGATTCGGATTATCATTGGACACCATCTCTTGTCTATCAGATCTCTCTTTCCATTTGCTCAATAAAAATCGAATATGCCATTTTCCGACATAGATTTTGCATTGTCAGTCCCAAGATTGGTATTGACAGGTGGACGAGAGGTCCTCTTAGCATGTTATGGATTAACGGTGAATAAATACCGCATCGCGTTTTGTTTTTTTTATATAACGGGGCAAATGAGCAGGAAGTTCACCTGATGTCAAGCAATACCGCCGCATTGACACTCACAATGCAAGAGAGCTCGCAAGTGCATTGCCGGCCTTTTAAGATTTTGGTACGCTCTTTTCTTGAAGGACCCTAAGTCGAATTGTATTGGGAATACACCGGTGAGCAGCTGTTTCCACATAGTGGTGGTGCGCGGCAAACGGTGATCCGACGATGAAACTCACTCATATTTATCCGAACAACTCTGAAAACTCTTCGTTGTAAATGCGGTAGAAGATGCGAAGTGACCCCACATCTCTACGCCAAGGGATCAAGCATATTTGCTCCTTGACTAGTTATATTATGAATAGTTGAAACGTTTTACTTCAAACCTGATACAGCACATGATAAATTGTCTCATAAGCTCATAACTTGCACAACGCGTGCTTTATTTAATTTCTGTTTGGGAGCACTCTTTGATGTTGGAGGCTGCATATTAAATTCTGAGCCGACGGCGCTCGATCAAAGGATGCAATTATTTTTCCCCGCAATTTTAACAATATCTCTTAATTTATAGATCATTAATTATTGTGTAAAATTCATTTTTATTCAGACATTTTATTGGTTTTGACCATAAACAATTGCTAACACGTAATGCTAAAAGCAAGTATTCAATTTTGTCTAAAGATTTATTGACTAAGTTTTACATTTTAATTTTATTTCAGTTTTATGATAAACCTTATTAGTAAATTCGGTAAATTTGTCGAATCACGGCTCCACCTTTAAGCAAACAGCTCCAAATGTTTTATATATAGCTCTTTACAACTTGTATGAGTACCCCAAGTAATATTAAGAAGGCACATGGCTTTTGACCCCGTAAAAAATTAAAAATCTGGTAAAATTACATGAATGGTGTAAATGATATTGTCTCAGTTCCCAGTAAATTACATTTGGTTAGGTTTTTTTTAATTTTAAGTGGCGTTGGTGATCAGGTTATGTAAGGTTAGGTTAAAGCCAAAATGATGTTTTAATTAATTGCTATGGGATTAAAGAGCATGCGCCACCACATCATTGCATGTTACATCATTGCCGAGTGATGAAAATTTATAGAAATTTTGTTTGACAAATTTACTTATAATTTTAGTATTTTAATTTTCAATAGTAATTTTCGCCAAAAAGCAATTATTTCTAAACACACGAAATTCCTTTCTTTTTTAATTGTTTTAATCAAACAAAAGTTTGTCTGAAAATAATCTATCTCACAAACTATAGTACGACAGTTATCATATACGTGTCTTGAAGGTTAGGGCTAACTAAAACTCATATTAATTTAATACTAGCGCCATCGATGTGTCAGTCTACGAACTTTCCAGCCCACCGAACATATTTGACATCTAAGGGTAATGTATTGCATGAAACAAAGGTTTTTTACATTTAGAAGTTAAGGAAATTCGGGTCTATTACTACTTAGTGCGTCTGCATCGATTGATTTAATTAAAGTAGCAAGAGAAAATTATTTAAGGCATTAAAAAATTATTAACAAGCCCGAGAATTTAAACACATCGTTAAGCTGAATGTTTATATCCCAGCTTGTTATATTTTTATTTAATTGTAGGTTCGTCTGGATTAAGTGAATTCGACCTTATCTGAGTGGAGTTATGTCTAAAATTTGTGATTGCAAGTAAAAAGGTAGTTTTTACGGCATATTATTATGTGTGATTATGATTGAATCACACAGTAATTTTAGTGATTTTATTATGCGGACTTCATTCTGAGGATGGACCGGATATTTTAAGAGCGTTACAGAATATAAAACAATTTTATGTTGAATGGCCTATACTAATAAAATGAGAAAAGGTTTCTAACAAGTAAACAACTGATAAACTATGGGGACAGGACGCTCGTTTTTTTGTAAAGATTTTTCTATTAATGGCGTAAGTTTCTCGAAAGTACTCTATTTTAATATATATATGTCGCAGTCAACTAGCTTAATAAGCCGTTCAATTGCTAGCCTAGCCTTTTAACTAAACAGCACCGTTTAACTAGCGGCCTGAAAGATATTCAGCTGTAGCGTTTGTAACAATATTTAATAAAATGGCTAATGCTTAGGCCATTCGTACGATAGAGTGACCATGTGGCAGAAATAAAAAAGATGAAACATCTCACATGAAAAGTATTTCTTTAAAAATTAAATTGCTTGAGTTGTTTTTCATTAAACTTTGGAAAACAGCATCAAAGTTGTGGTTTACCGATGCCATATTGATAGTTTGAAGAGTTTCGTTTCGAGTTTGAGAGTGGCAGAAAGTGGTACAACTAATTTCAATGGCAACAAACGCAGTATTGAGCTGGACAAATGTTTCACCTATCAAGAGAAAACCTTGCTTTAAAATCGAATAAAATTTAATGTAAGGTATAAGTTTTCACATTCTAACTCGCTCCAGCTTATGTAGTTCAAATGTATAATGTTAAAATAACTCGAATACTAGCGCGTATCAAGATCAAACTGGTACTTTCAAGTTGGACCTATCATGGTATATCTATAGAAACCAAACTTAATTTTCTGTATCTTACACGGGACATAGACGGATAAATATATTCTATGATTTATGATACTTTACTGTTATAAAAAACTCCGTACTTTATAGTAGTTCTTTCATTAAATGTTTTTACTATTTGTATGCTTAAATTGTATATAACTCTCAACTTGTGAATAATTCATAATTAGAAGATATAAGTTACGTACTTTTTGTTTAGGGCCTAAACAAATTGACTGGCATTTATTTTTAATGTCTGGAGTTCAGTGGCGGTTGTTGTAGAGATGTTCAAATATATGTTAAATGAAACT